TATATAAATATAAATATATATCTTTAAGATTATAAATAAATTTATTAATAAGTATTAGTAAATTAAAAAAACTAAATTATAAATTAAAAGATTACTTTTTATATAAGATATAAAAGATTTAAAAAAGTAAATAAATATAAATAGTTAAATAAAAAATAAAATATAAGCTTATAATAATTAAAAGGTAAAGGTTAAAATATATAATTAATAATATAATATATATAACTAGATTAGATATAATATATATATTTATTTATAAATATAAAAACTAATAAAGAAGAGGATTTTAATAAGTTTTAGATCTTTTTTTATATTATAGTTAAATTATTAATAGTTAAATATTATAAGGTTAGGGTAAGTATATAACTTATTTATCTATATAACTTACTTATTAATTATATTATATTTAAATAAAAAATAGGTTAATATAATATAGTAGATTTTATAATAAAATTATATAGCTTTTATATTAAAGTTATTATAGTTTATATATTAAGAAAATTATTTAATATTTTACTTATTATTATCTTTTTAACTTTATTTTTTTCTAATATTTATTTTATTTTTTATATATTTATTCTACTAATATATATTAGTTTTTAATTAAAGCTTTATTATTTTTAATTAATAGCTTTCTAATAAAATATATTAATAATAGTTTTTATTATAGTTTTTAAAACTTTATTATAAAGATTAAGATAATAAATATTACTTAAGCTAATATATATTAAAGTTAAGTTATAATTTTATTAGTCTTTTATTAAGATATAATCTTTACTTTTTATATTATTAAATATAAATAGTTATAATAAAATATTAAACTTTATTTTTAATTTAAATATTAAAGTTATTTTAAAGACTTTTATAATTATATATAAATATAAAGCTTAAAGATAATTATATTTTTATATAAAGTTGATTTATTTCTATTTTAAAAGATATTATATAAGTAATTTATATATTAATACTAAATAAATAACTTTTAAATATAGTTTTTTAATATAACTTAAATAAAGACTTTATATTATTTTTATAAATATTTATAAAGTTTATTAAATATTTATAATTCTCTTTTTTATTATTTTAATTTATTTCTTTTATAATAATTTTAATATAAACTAAACATTTAATAAATAAATCTTACTTTTAAATTTAATAAGATACTTTTTAAGTTATAAACTTTTTAAAGCTAAAGTTTATTTATATTAAGAATATATCAAATTAAACTTTAATATAAAGAAGTTTAAGTAATATTTTAAAAACTACTTTTAATAAATAGTTTATATTTACTTTAACTAAAATATAACTTAGGTCTAGTCTAATACTATATTTAAAAGGCTTATATTATTTATAAAGTCTATTATTAAATAGCTTAAAACTATTTTAAATCTTTTATATAAGAAAGAATAAAAAAAATAAAAGTATTAATAAAAATAAAAGACTTTATAAAAACTTTTTAAAGATAATTAATATTATTATTAATATATTATTAATTAAAACTATATTATATAGAAAATTAAGTAAAATAATAAAAGCTAGATTATTAAAGATAAAAAACCTAAAACTAAAGTACTTAGATAATTATTTAGTAAATTATATTATTAAAAGCTTTTTAAATATTAAGTTAAGAAAGTAAAATAAAATTACTTTAATATTATATTATTTAGATTATTTTAATAACTAAAGTTATTATTATTTTTATTAACTTTTTTAAATTAGTTTTTTATTTTATTATTAAATAATAAATAATTTATTTTTAT